GACCTTGCCATTTATCCCCAAGGCCTTGAACTATGTGTCGACCCTTGACATTTATCCCCAATGCCCCAACGACTACTCAGCGTATTGGTCCTTGACTGCCACCACGTTTAGACCCAATACTCATCATCAAATAGACTTATCATGCCGACCCCCGACCCTTTGTACTCGGAACCTCGACACTCATCTCTACCAAGATATCTACAAGTCATTCACACTTCTAATCACAACATAGTATTCGAGCATACTCTTCATCGTACATAACGATAAAAAAAATACTCCAGTAGCTTCCAACTAACAAACATACACTAAATAACATGAAACTAACACGAGCATTTTATTCTCAATACATGTTTTCAAACCTCAAAGCTTAATCACCTACAACCATACCAATAAGCAACTCCTAATCTAGTAGCTTTCAACTGATAACATACACTAAATATCATGAAACTAACACGAGCATTTTATTCTCAATACATGTTTTCAAACATCAAAGCTTAATCACCTCCAACCATACCAACAACTCCTAATCCAGTGGTTTTCAACTAACAACATACAATAAATATAATGAAACTAACACAAGCATTTTATTCTCAATACATGGTTTCAAACATCAAAGCTTAATCACCTCCAACTATACCAATAAAAAACTCCCAATATTTTAGGCAACAGGCATGGATACAAGTTATATACATATCAAATAAATAAAAACAACAACTTACAATAGTAGTATCGACCTCATAACTATGTCTAATAATTAATATGGCAAGAGAACAAACTTATAATAACAGCCAGCAATAATAATTTTATCAGCACCCAACAACGCACACACCCGCCCCTGGTAGTACTTACACACTGCTACGCTCCTAAATCTTGCGTCGATTCAACACCTAGGCAACAAAACAAAAAAAGCTGCAATTAAAACAAAGCTTTCACCCAACGAAAACGATCCCAAAGGGGTTTGAAAGGTCTGTTACCGTCGAACTGACCTCGTTTAGGTGTGGGTAGTTTGAATCTAACTCAAATAGGCATGGGTTGTGTAAAACGGGCTTCGAGCGATTATGGGTAGATGCGGAACGTCACAAACAATGTTGTACGCGTGGTTGCCACAAAGAAAACGCACCGAAGGGAGCGACGTCGCTCTGTGCAGTGGAAAAGAAACACCCGAGGTCGCCGACCACCGCGAGACACCGCCGCCGGACCAACGCCCCAAAACCCGCACCACCTGCAGCAGAATCATCGCCCGCTGCCAAGAGCCGCCTCGTGCGCCGCCGCTACTAGTCGCCGGAGTTGGGGACGTGTCGCGGTGGGAAAGATCGCCAGCGTCGGGAGGTGAGGGGCACTGGTATTCGAAGAAGAAGAAGAAGAACACGAGGGGGGCTGATGGTTCACGAACAAAGGATTTGGGGATTAGGGTTTTCCCTTATTTTTCTCTTTTGTTAAAAAAAAAGGCCCACTTACCCAATTATTTTTGTTAAAACAAAACAAGGTCCATGGACCAAAAGATTAGAATTCTAGTTCCCAACATCCCTAAACTTAATTATCTCCAATAATAGAAGTAAGCAATCGACCCAACGACCCAGGACAATTGTCAAAGAAAACAAACTCTTTGTTAAAAAATAATTAAATACGTACATACAAGCCAATAACTCACAACAAATACCGGAGGAGCTCAAAATAAAATGAAATAGAACAATTAAATTAGATTAAAATAATTTCTAAGAAAATAACCCCGAGACTCGAGGATATTTTAACCTGAGTAACGCGGGGCGTTACACACCGTTAGTCAAAAGATTGTTATCTCATAAGATGACCAGGGAACTCGATCTTAATCCTGAGCGAGTTATGGACTCCTGCCTATAAGGGATTGTTCTGTGATTTGTGTGGGTGAGAGTGACTCGGGTTGCTGACTCAATAATCCTACCATTTTGGGGACGAGACCGAGTGGGAAGCTGGAAACATAACTACGTAAGATGCAATTCACTCCTTTCCGGCTGTAGAGAAGTAGATGAGTGTCCCTTACATGCTGACTCTAGTACTTGAACAAGGGGTCCCGTCCTCTCACTGGCCCGAGAGGGACTTCCGGTTATCGACGGACCATAACCAGGTTGTTCATTAGAGGAGCAGTAGTATTTAAGGAGCAAGATGTAACTCAGGGGTAAAACGGTAATTTTACCCAGCTAGAGTTACGAGCACTCGTGAAGGATTGACTTGCTGTTAATGGTCGTACATCCGTGGACACAAAAATATTATACAGTGAGAAGAGTGCATTTGTGAGTCTTTAGTGGAGTAATCCGCAGTTACCGAATGTTGGTTAATTTTGTTAATGAGTTTGATCAATTAACCTTGTATCGTTAGAGTTTCTGATCTGTAGGTCCATTAGGTCTCCTTGCTAGCTCACAACGGGTAAAATGAGGATCAAGATTTTGAGAGATTTTGAAATGTTCAAATTATATATCAGGGAATGTAGATGATGTATATTATGATACATTATATATATAGTTTATTTTTTAATAAAGATTCAATAATTAAACTATATCGTATGAGAGAAATATTCTAATAGGATTCAAATAATTAATATGAATTGGATGCATATTAAAACTATAGGTTATAAAAAAGAGATGCATTTGAATATGATTCAAATATATAGTTTTAATTAAATATGTGATATTTAATTAAAAGTTAAGGGCTCGTTTGATAACCAATTGGTTGTTGGCTCTTGGTTTTTGGTTTTTAAAAAATAGTGGTTTTTGAAAATTAATTCGTTTTATGCTGTTTGAATTTTCAAAAACGGTTTTAGAAATTTTAAGAAATTTTGGAAACAGAAAAAAACAGTTTTCAAAACTGGTTTTCGTTTTTAAAATTAGATATTGAGCCCRCGAGCCCTAGAACAAACACCTTCGACAAGCTCCTTCAACAACTCAAATCTCCTTCGACAACTCAGAGTTCGATCTTTACTGAGTTTACTTCCACATTCAGCTGAGTTCATGTTCAATCTGTTCGGTCGTTCCTCTCTTTCTTGTTGTAATTGCATTTTTTAGGTTAAGGATTTCGTGAGTTCATTGTTGGAGTGATGTTCGAAACTTTTATAGCTCTGTAGTAGGCTTGAAACTTACCCAGTGAGAGATTTATTGCAATGGCCTAAAGGGGAAGCTATTTTTATCAATGGCATAATCATCCTCCGAATTGATGAGATTATGAACCAATTGGGAACCTTGATGATTCATAACCTCTATACACTCTTTACTTCTTCCCAGATCAAAAAGCGTACTTGACAGTGTAGGATACTTGGCAATGTAAGGACTTAGAACTTCCATCTTATCGGAAGCAAGGACTTCAATCTCTTTAGTGACACTTCCAAACTGACCACAATCCAAACCATCGATCAAATTATTGATAGCAAACAGATCAGAGTAATCAATTATTCTTGCAGAGTTCTTCATTTTGTTTTGCCTTGGTGTGTCACATTTTTGGATAGAAAAGGCAGCAAGGCTAGGAAGAAAACTAGTTGCTTTTAGATAAAAGATCTGGCTTGTGTATAGTTCTTGCTCATGCTTAGATATCTGGGTTCTCATGCCCTTTGTTGTCTCTTCAACTTTGTTTGTATCATTTGTTTTTTTTATATCCTTACTTTATTATATGAGTTATTTCTATCTACACGGTAGTTGTGATGTTTCTTGTTATTTTCATTTCTATCATGTCTGTAAGAATGATCTATGTCTCTGTAAGAATCTCATCCCATGTCTGTAAGAATCGAGAATGATCTATGACTAAAACTTTGTATTGGTGGAAGTGGAAGACTTTTTGTTTAAGATTGATGAAATTTCGTGGACATAAATGTAAGAAAGGGGAAAACTTGATTCTTTAATTTTTGTTCAGAACTGGTATTTACGATGCTGAGAGCAAATGAATGTTAATCAAAGACAACCATGAAGACCAACTGTACTGATGATGTTACTCAAATTGATGGATCAAAATATTATGGGTCGTGGACTTTCAAAAATGAATCAATCTTTATAGATTTGATGGATTTTATCACCTTATCGTGGAGAATGATATCATTTGCGTGATTTTCGAGAAGATGACGTCAACTACACGGTAAAGAAGAGTTAATCAACAATCGACACTCATCACTTTGCAATGTGATAGAGAGATGTTTTGGGGTATTAAAGGCTCGATTTCCTATTTTGAAGCAAATGCCTTCATATCCTATTAGCACGCAAAAATATATACCAATAGCATGTTGTACAATTCATAATTTTATCAAATTACATGGTAGCAATGATGAACTTTTTAATAAATACACTCGAGAATTCATGATCATTGAAGAAGAAAATATGCAACATGGAGGTGACCTTTCACAAACACCTATTCAGATAGATGTTCAAAATCAACTCAAACATATGGCTTTGGTGAGAGATCGAATTGCAGATCAACTGCAAAACCGAGTATAGCTCAAGTGGTTAAGGCATCTATCTCTGACCAAGAGGTCATGAGTTCGAACTCCCACCCCCACATGTTGTATCAAAAAAAGAAAAAAAAAGAATTGCAGATCAACTTTGGATGGCAATTAAATGAACTGTTATATGAATATTAGTGATGGTGGATTTGTTCATTTTTTTATATATTAATATATATTTGAACATTTATCTCATTGTAATTAGATCGGGTAAAAGAATGTTAGATATTCAGAACAACCTGAAATAGATTTAGGCGTGCACATATATTAGTTAAAATAATATTAGAAAATTTATTTTTTATACATTTTATTTAAAAAAACATAAAATCAAAAATAGTTATCAAACTACTATTTGATTTTTGGTATTTTGAAAATGGAAAACAAAAAATGGTTATCTGTTTTACAAAAAAAAAAAAACAAAACCAAAAACAAAAAACGAGTTATCATATATAGTTTTTGTTTTTTAAAAACAAAAAACTATAAACCAAAAACAAAATAAAAAAACCAAAAACCAAAAACCAAAAACTAAAAACAGAAATGGTTATCAAACGGGCCATAAATAATTAATTGTTAATTATTTATTTAATACTTAGATTTAAATTAATTAATTTTAATTAGATTACTAATTATTTATTAAATTTATTAATTATTAATTAGATTAATAATCATTGATTAAATTAATTAAATTAATTGTTAATTGATTTAATTAATTTGTTTATTATTAATTAAATAAAAAGAATAAGATATCCTCGTAGTGTTGAGATTTCCCCTAGATTCAGTAGAAGATATCCTATATCCATAAGGATAAGATATCATAATGGTCGTAGGATTTTCAGTCTCTATAAATATAATAGTAAGCTGAACCCTAAAGGAATGCTCGAGGCTAAAAAGTCTCTTAACTCTCTTAGTCTCACAATCCCTTACAATTGGATCCCACAATCCGGATGCTCGACGAGAGACATAGTGAGGAAGATCAAGTGGTGTTGTCTCATTGGGATTACAGAAGAAGAGTCTTCAAAGATAAAATCAAACATCCTTACCTGTTTTATATTTTTCTGTGTTTTAAATTTCAAAAGAAATTCAAGAACGTGTTCTACTGCTTCCACTCCGGGATTCATATCCATTTCAATTGCTATCAGAGCGCTGTTTTTCGTTCTGGATTTTTTGTTGAAAATTTTCACAGAATATGGTAGGTTTTCTTTTGCATTTTGATGTTTAATGTTTATGTGTTTTAAATTTTTTGCATGAAGGATGGCTCATCAATGCGAGAACACGTTCTCAACCTGATGGTCCACTTCAATGTAGCGGAGATGAACGGGGACGTCATAGACAATCAGAGTCAAGTCAGCTTTATTCTGGAATCTCTTCCGAAAAGTTTCCTGCAATTTCGCAGCAACGTGGTTATGGATAAGCTGGAGTACACTCTTACCACGCTCTTAAACGAGCTACAGATCTACCAGTCACTTATGAAAAATTAGGCATAGGAAGGGGAGGCAAATATTACCACCTCCAAAAGGTTCGACCGAGGTTCGACCTCTAGAACTAAGTCTGCACCCTTTTCTTCTGGAAGTCTTACTTCAAGAAGAAGAAGGCTGCTGGTAAGGAGCCCAAACCTGACTCTGCTACTATGCTGCCAAGAAGGCAAGACCAAAGTTGCAGACAAGAAAAAGTGTTTCCACTGCAACGTGGATGGGCATTGGAAGCGCAACTGCCCGAAATACCTAGCCGAAAAGAAGAAAGCCATCAAAGGTATATACGATTTACTTGTTTTGGAAACATGTTTAGTAGAGAATGATGATTTCGTCTGGATATTAGATTCAGGAGCCACTAACCACGTTTTTTCTTCGTTTCAAGGAATTAGCTCCAAGAGGCAGCTTGAAGTCTGAGAGATGACTCTCAAGGTCGGAATGGGAAAGGTCATCTCAGTTGTGGCGGTAGGGGAGCTCAAGTTGTGTACAAACAAG